AACTCAGAATATTGCCTACCAGGTATGGAGGGGTGCCAATGAATCAGAACAGACACTGGCTATAAACGGTCCACACAGCCATATTGACTGCATCCCCACTGACTAGCCTATGAAAAAAGGGAACACCAGGTGAACAAAATGAGGTCGACATTTGTACACATGGGCTGTTTTAGAAAGTTCTCCAGAATATATAATGCAAGTAAAAGGTGCAGAGCCATGTGAATGACATGGATTCCAGTTTTGTACATTTTAAAATACATATAGAGCTGTGCCGGTAAGTACTTGAAAACATTTTCTGGAGGAGAGCATAAGACTGATGGCCAGCAGTTGCTTTTGGCGAGAGACTATGTAGAGAGAGAGAGGGTAAGAGGTGGCACCATTTAATGTTATAGAGGTTATACCATTTAATGCTTTTTAATTTTTTTAAGTTTATTTATTTACTTTGAAAGAGAGAGAGAGAGAGAGAGAGACAGCACACCTGGGGGAGGGGCAGAGAAAGAGGGAGAGAGAGAGAATCCCAAGCAGGCTCAGTTCTGTCAGCACAGAGCTTGACTTGGGGCTCCATCTCAGGAGCTGTGAGATCATGACCTGAGCCGAAATCAAGAGTTGGATGCTTAACTGACTGAGCCACCCGGGCTCTCCTCTTTTTAACTTTTTAATTTATTCAAGCAACAAACGATAATTGAACACATACTAATGTCAGGCACTGGACTAGGCACTAGGGAAATAATGCAGGAGGCAGTTAAAGCTGAGTGCTATTAGCATGGGCTCCTCAGCCACACTGCCTGCATTTGAATCCTGGCTGCACGCTTAGAAGTTGGGATACCACGGTGAAATCACTTACCCTTTCTCTCCAGTTGCTTCATTCATAGAGTATGAACTAATTGTTCTTTTCTCACAGGGTTGCCGGGAGAATTAAATGAGATAATACATGCAAAGTGCTTAGCGCAGTGTTAGGTCTTTGGTGCATGTTCCTTAATTGTTAGCGCTAAAAAATGAGGGAGGAAGAGGAGACCCAGTCCTCATCCTCCAGAACACCCAGTCTAGCGGGTGACTGAAATGGAGAGGAGGAGTTTGTTATTGGAAATGAGGGGCCAGGGAGCTGGATGAACCACCCAGGCAGATGCTGGCCCCACCCAGTGGGAGAGCAGGGCTCGAGAGCCTTGTCGCGAGGAGGGGAGAATGGAGGGAAGTGAAACCTTCCGCTAAGATGGACTCAGGACGGGAGGATCCTGGGGGAGGATCCTGTCTCAGGACCGCTGAAGGCACTCGGGAGCCTGGTCTGGAGCAGAAGGAGGAGTCTGAGAAGTTAGCTGAGGAAGCTCAAGAATGGGCCTAATCAGGGAGAGCCAGAGGCCAGGAAGCATTCCAGAGAACTGGGGAGGGGAGAGGGAGACGGTGGGGAAGAGGTGTAGTGCTCAAGCAGAGGAGCCACAGATGAATCACTTTGCTCAAAGGAATTGTGGGAGCACCACTGTTTTGGCCCATAGTTTTCTCTTCTTTGTCTGCATTGAGTACATGGAACTTCTGTGGTATCTTCAGATGTTTCAGGCTTCTAGAATCCTTAGGATTCATCCTTTTTGTTATACTCGCTATACCTCATGTTTGAGGAAGTAGGGCTTGGGTTTGGGAGTCAGCTGGCAGGTGGCTGGGTAGTCCCTGGCTAATGCCCTTTCTTCTGAACCTCCCCGGGTTGGGTTTTTGCCCCACTCTATTTTTGCAGCTCACTCCAGGCTTCCCTGACCCCCTGTGGCTGAGGGGGGTGATTGGCAGGGGCAATCTGGCCAATGTCGACTTAAAGCGTTTATGAGAGAAAAGTATTGTTGGAACAGAAGACATATCTCAAGTCGGTGGAATGCTTGTCCTCCTGGAGGGGAAAGAGCTGCCTTAGGTTCCCACTAATACTTTGAGTCAGTAAGTAGAGCCCTAAATATTTGTTAAAGGAGCAAATGCGTGGTCCCTCTTTTTCCATCTGTAGGTCCCAGCCTTTGAGGTATGAATTGGAGAGGAGAAGGCAGACTCCTCAGGGTGCCCCCCAACTAATGATACTCTCGGCTCTAAAACGAACCAATTAAGGGGGTCAGAAGTTGGAAAAACATGAGAGTAAGTAAAAAAAATGAGGCAGCAGGTCCAGCTCCAGTTGGCGCAACATCTTTTCTTAATGAATCCTTTCCTCACCGAAGCAACAAATGCACTAATTAGTCTTCTATACTTTGACGGTTACCTTCCCTCCACGATTCCCAAAACTATATTCTCCAATTACAATCTGAGTTTTCTTGAGTTCTTTTCTCACCTCCTTTGGTTCATTTTTCATCTCCACTGGCACCAGAGTTTGTTTATTTTTTATTGTATTTTCCCCAAATGTTTTAGTTTCCAGTGGTGAAAACATGGAACAGTCTCTCCATTTTACATGGGCACAGCATTAATCAACTGCCTTGATCACATCTTTTTTTGTGAAAAGGCAATCAGACAAAATGTTATCATTGGGTGCTTGCCTTGATTACATCTTTTTTTGTGAAAAGGCAATCGGACAAAATGTTATCATTGGGTGCTTGCATTTCAAGCACATTTCTTATCCTGTTTTTATGTGCATCCAAATGCTTTTAATTTTAACTTTAAGAAAAATACAGATTAAAAAATGATTTTGACATTAAAAACCCCAGGCCATGACCAATCATAGTTTTAAGCTTATCTAACTAAGGTGTGAATGAAAACTTGGATAGAAAAGTAAAACTTCCAAACCCCTAGAGGGAGTGTCCTTGCCTGGATGTATGCTGTAACAGAGGCAAAGAGCCACTAGGTGGCTCTGTCATTTTCAGGTAAAACTAAAGTCCGCAAAAGATAATACATAGTTAAGTAACAAAATCTTTCTAGTAGGCAGAACCTTTAATCAAAGCAAGAAGCGATAATCTGCAATCATGGCCTCTTACTCAGAAATAATTTGGAGCTATTGTGTTAAGAATTAGACTAAAAACAACAGCAACCCTGGAAAACTGCAAAGTGTGTACGCATAAGCAATTTGTTAAAAAATAAGGGAAGGTATGATAACCTTAGAGACATCAATTACTAAAGGGGAGATGGTTACAAATGTTTTCTAATTTGTTGCTACCTCAGTTCCTAGATTTTCTTTTGGACTTTCTCTTTTTTTGTTGTTTGTTTTTTAGGTCTTTAAACTTAAGAACAAATATTAAATTGGGGGCATTATTACTTATTATTTAAGTATTTTTTTAAATTTAATTACTTAAAATTGCTTTAACATTTCCTGGGTTATAGCTGTCATCTTTATTAACGTCCCAAAAGAAACAAAACAACTTTGTTTTGGACTATTTGGGAAGGAGAACATACACACGTAGCACTCTTCTCTAAATTAAGAAAAATTTAGATCAAATTTGGATCCTTAAATCAAAATACAATTAAACACTATTTCATTCTATAGCATTTGCCAAGAGCTTAAAAGAAATAGTGTGTTAAATTCAGAGGTCAGAATAATTCTTTTCCGAGTCCAGAAAAGATGAAGAAAGTAGTTACTTTGAACTGTGGTTTGCATGTTAGGTATTAAATTTACTAGTTAAATATCTCTGGATATTTTTTTTAAAGAAATAAAATAATAGATAATGATAATGTTCTGTAAAGTACATAACCAACTTTATATCATAAAAACAAATACGGAGTAGAGGGGGGTGGATTTCCAAACTATTAAATATTCTGAACCATCAGTCTGCAATTGGCAAACAAAACACTTTCCCCCCTCTCCGCTCTCTTAAATGTCTATCTCAGACTTGTCACTTTAGTAAGAACATATTTAGGAATGACTTTAATTGTAAAAGAAAGTTTTCTTATTGTTGTTCGGTGTCAATAAATAATGATTGCGTGGCATGTGGGTGCCACAGTATTTTACTTGTTTTGCTTGTTTGTGTGTCTGTTTTGCAGGCAGGAACCACACTTCAAAACTTAAAGCAGTGGAAAGTAAGTCCTATACCATAATTCGTTGAGACCGTTTTTTGTAAATGAGCTCTTCTTGCACAGTTTAAATTACAGTCGGCTTTAAAATGCTAATTCCGAACCCACTTATTTAAATGTCTCTGAAAACATACACCCTTCTGTTTTCGAAGAAAACAAATCACACCAAAGGACTGCACAAACCGGACTTAAAATGAACAAATACTTCCCGAGTGTGAACGAACATACAGTTATGTGTTTAGAGACATGGTTAGAAAAATTTAAAACCAATTTCAGTCCATCTCATCACAAAATCCCCTAGGAGATGGGGACACTCCAAGGATGCCGGTTAATAAAATCTACCGTACATCCCCAAGAGTTGTAAATCGCGTCTATTATTTTCGACTGGAAGCCGATCAGTTGAGGCCGACCGTGAATCCTGTACCTCAATTGCAAAAGGTGCAGAAGCTTCATGTAGAAAATCACAGGGCGCTATGCAGGTGGTCTGAGCGGCCACCCAAACTCATCCCGGGAACTTTTTAGAAAACTGTTGTACTGTTTGGGTTATCTTCTCCGGGCTTCCATACTCGTTCTTTTACTTCATTCCTGGGCTAAGAACACGTCTGCTGGCAACGGGGTGCTTTTCGCCTGCATCCCGGAGGCGCCGGCCTGCGCCGGCCTCCCCCGGGCTGCCGGGCCCGCCGAGGAGGGGCTCCGCAGGCGGGGTGGGCGGGGCGGGCGGCTCGAGGGCTCGGGCGCGCTCCGCTGGGAAGCGCGGGCAGGTGGGGCGGGGCGGGGGCGTGGAGAGCCCGGGCCCGCGGGCCGCCGCCCAGCCCCGGGCCGGCCCGGGAGGAGCCGCGCGGCGGACGGTTATAAGAAGCCCGCTCGCGGGCGCCCCGCGCGCCTCCGCCGACCCCCGCCCCGGCACCGGTCGCCCAGCGAAGGGCCGAGGCGGGGCCGCAGGGTGGTCCCCCAAAGGGATGCTCTCGCCCGAGCGGCGACACCAGCCCCGCTCGCCCCTCGCCGCCGCCGCCGCGCCGCACCCGCCGACGGTCACCGACATGGCCCTCTACTGCGGCGACAACTTCGGCGTGTACTCGCAGCCCGGCCTGCCCCCGCCCGCCGCCGCCGCCGCCGCCCCGGGCGCGCCCCCGGCCTCCAGGGCGCCCTACGGGCTGGCCGACTACGCCGCGCCGCCCGCCGCCGCCGCCAACCCCTACCTGTGGCTCAACGGGCCGGGCGTGGGCGGCTCGCCCGCCGCCGCGGCCGCCGCGTACCTGGGCGCTCCGCCGCCGCCGCCGCCGCCGCCCCCCGGGGGCGCGGCCGGGCCCTTCCTGCAGCCGCCCCCCGCCGGCGGCACCTTCGGCTGCGCGCAGCGAGCCTTCGCGCAGCCCGCGTCCGCCTCGCCCGCCTCGCCCGCGGGGCCCGCTGCGCCCGGCGAGCTGGGCTGGCTGTCCATGGCCAGCCGCGAGGACCTGATGAAGATGGTGCGGCCGCCCTACTCGTACTCGGCGCTCATCGCCATGGCCATCCAGAGCGCGCCCGAGCGCAAGCTCACGCTCAGCCACATCTACCAGTTCGTGGCCGACAGCTTCCCCTTCTACCAGCGCAGCAAGGCCGGCTGGCAGAACTCCATCCGCCACAACCTGTCGCTCAACGACTGCTTCAAGAAGGTGCCCCGCGACGAGGACGACCCAGGTGAGGGCGCCGGACAGGTTGCCTCCCCGGCCGGGAGGGCGGGGAGGCGGCGCGCGTGCAGGGGCCGCGTTTGCGAGCGGCTGACTCGGAGCTCCCTGCGGAGGCTTCTCGTCCCACCTGGGGATGGGAGCCGGGGCGGAACAGCCACCCGATCCTCGAACCTCGTCTGGCTGGGGTGGGGGCAAGCCGGAGGACAAAGAGAACTCTCAGAGGACCCACAGGGCGGGGACGCGGTGGTGGGGGGCTCGCCCCTTACACCCACGCACACCCACCCCACACCCGCGCGTAGAGGCTGCCGGTTAGAGAAAAAGGAGAAAGCCAGTATCCTCAAACGGGAAGCCACCCGTGGGTGGTGGTCATCGCGCCAGTGGAAGGCAGGGACCAAGGCACGGATGAGGAATAAGAACACGCGTAGGCTGTCGGATAAGGGACGACTGTAAAGGGATTCAGATGGGCTGAGAACCCCGGCACATTTCACGGAAGAGGTGGTGAGAGACCAAGGAACAGCCGGCCGCTCCAGCTGTCCCTGGAGGCGGCTCTTCCTGCACCAGGGTCCTCACTGTGTCCTTGAAGTCGTGCCTGCCTTGAGGGAGACGACTGAAGTAGTGGCACAGGCATCATGAGACAGGGGCAGAGGAATCCGAGAACTTCAGCTGGGTCCCGCAGATTGTGGTGCGGTGCCTTAACTGCTTAGAAATGTGCAAATGAAAACCCCAAGTTTGCTACGTTTCTGATCTGAGCCCCGGGGTGAGGAGGGCTGGGTTACAGTGGACGCTGTGAGTGGTTTTCCGCCACCGGAGCAGTGGAGGCCGCCGAAAAGCTCAAAAAAAAAAAAAAACCCCAAAAAACAACAAAACCCGAGAGAAATAGGATTCTACTTGGGGTTTTCAGAAGGAGCTGGGGTCCGGGGTGGTGGGGACAGAGGCATGACAGGAAAAAGAGATGCAGAACTTTGTGTAAATGCTCTGGAGTGTTCACACCCGAAAGCACTCTAGAGTGGTGCTTTGCAAAAGAAATAGAGTACAAACTATGTGTGATTACAAATTTTCTAGCATCCACATTAAAAAAGTAAAAAGAAACTGGTGGAATTATTTTTAAGTAACCCAAAATATTGCTTCAACAGCAAACATAATACAGCAAATACAAAAGCTGTTAGTGAGATCCTTTACTCTTTTGTTTTTTGATATTAAGTCTTCAGAATCCTGTGCATGTTTGATTCCACATGTCACTTTGGACTAGCCACTTTTCAGGTGCCGGACAGCCATGTTTGGCAAGTGGTTACTGTAATGGACAGGGCATACAGTTCTAGAAGCTGTATCTTCCCAATTTGGCCTCTAAAGACCTGAGATTATCATGTTAATTGTCATGTATATTCATCTGGACTTTCTAAAAAGTTAGTGTCTTTAGCTAGTGTGTTGTCAAAGCCCTTGATACTAAGGGACGTAATATAAAAGTCTGATAGGTACAGGTCCTATTATTTATATGACAGGTGTATGAATAAAAATATATTTTTGCAACTATTTGCAAAAAAAATGTGGTAACGAAGATCATGGGTTTAGAGGAGTACCTGCTAGTCCGTGCAGGCAACCTAACAGTGTTTAGGTAAGAATGCCGAGTCTAGAACCAGCCTGCTTAAAGCCCAGCTCTCCCATTGCTAACTGGGAACACAGCAGGATACTAACCAGTTTGCCCCTCGGTTTCCTCATCTGAAAAATGGGGACACCAATATTGTCTGTCTCCACAGAGCTGTCAGGAGCAACCGAAGTTGCCGTGGAAAGCACTCTGCGAGAGAAGTGCTTACCAGTACTTTGAAATGCCAAAGATTCTGTTTACGGGACGTGATAAAAGCGGTTGAGAAAATCCTCCCAGATGATGGATCTTTTTTTTTTTTTTACCTCAATTATGCTAGATAGTGAGGGGAATTTTCTAAGCAGCAGACTAGCACCATGTGCCTGAAAGGAGGCTCTGGTCTGAGATTTGTCAGTGGAGGAAAAGCTGGGAAGAGATGCAGGGCACCTCCTGCTCAAGGGGAGCGAGGGGTGTAGACTCCAGGAGCTCCCTTGTCCCCTGAACATACATTCTCCAAGGTCGTGTTAAAATAAGTGATTGTCCAGTAATAACTTTTGTAATTTTTGTTTGGCAAGACAAATGATTGGGTACCTGAGGTTGCCTTTTTCCAGTGGAGTGGGTTTTTTAAGGGGCACATATTGATGTGAGCACATAATAATAACAGATGTCAGAACCCTCACGGTCAATCTGTAAAATGGATATTATTCTCATGCCTGCTTTTATAAACCAAGAAATGCACGCTCACGTTTAAGTAGCGCCAGGATTTTGCAAGGTGCACGCTGTGAATCCGGAGGGGATGGTGTTGGGGAACTAAAAGTGTCTTGGGCCTAGAATTAGGTCTCACGATTTAAGTAGCAGACACTGTCAGGAGAGGGTGGAAGTGGCCAGAACATCTTGGTTCAAGATTTCTCCTTGGAACGTGAAGAATAAAATCTCCCCCTGAAGGATACATTTGAACAGTAGAGGGGACCAAACATCTATGCCAGGGTTTCATGAGAGTCAGCCCTCTCTCCGGAACGGAAGCTGAAGAATACGAGGGCAAGAACTAGGTCCTTCTGACTTGTGTTTCTTCCTCCTCTTCATAGGGAAGGGGAATTACTGGACCCTCGACCCAAACTGTGAGAAAATGTTTGACAACGGGAACTTCCGGCGGAAGCGGAAGCGCCGCTCGGAAGCCAGCAGTACCTCTGCGGCGGCCCCAGGGACAACAAAATCAGAAGAAGGGCTCTCCTCGGGATTGGGGTCGGCAGTGGCCGCGAAGCCGGAAGGAGACAGCCCCTCCGCTTTGCTAAGGCCGTCCCAGTCCCCAGAGCCCCCCGAGGGCACCAAGAGTACGGCCTCCTCTCCGGGGGCTTCCTTGCTCACCTCCACCCCTTGCCTCAACACCTTCTTCAGCAGCCTCAGCACCTTAAGTGTCAGCAGCAGTGGGGGCACCCAGCGGGCTCTCCCTGGCAGCCGCCACCTAGGTATCCAGGGTGCCCAGCTGACCCCCAGCAGCACGTTCCCCCCCAGCTCTGTCCCCGAAGCCCCACCGGACACCTTGCAGCTGAGCAACGGCGCCAGCAACAGCAGCAGCCAGAGATCTTCCTACTATAGCCCTTTCCCTGCCAGCACCAGCGGGGGGCAAAGCAGCCCCTTCAGCAGCCCCTTCTACAACTTCAGCATGGTCAACAGCCTCATCTACCCCCGGGAGGGCTCAGAGGTATAGGACCCCGCCAGCCTCTGCTTCTCAGACTTGAATATGCACGCCCTGAGATCTTGTTAAATGCAGATTTCCGAGGCGGTAGGTCTGGGGCAGAAAGAGAGATCCGCCTTTCCCTGGAGTCCCAGGCTTTCCTGTAGGTCTGGGGCAGGAAGGGAAATCCGCCTTTCCCTGGAGACTCCTTTCCCTGGAGTCCCAGGTGATCCCGTGGGCCCGCTGACCACATCTGGAGTCGCACTGGAGTAGTAGAGGACTCTTTCTACAGCCCACCAAGCTTTTGCAGTTTTCTGGATAAGGGCCTCCCTGGAGAGAAATCCACCCCTGTTCTGGGACAGTACCTGTGAGCCCTGCGAGGGCAGGGACTGTGTCTGTTTTGTTCATCACTGTGTATCGGGGTTACAGCTCACATGTGCCCAGGGGCCAGCTAAAAAACAAAAGAATGAAGTCTCTTGGGTAGGAAAAAGGTAGCAGTTGGTAAATGCTGCAGTGGAGAGCGGTCAGGACTGACCAGCTGATGGCTGCTGTGGGCCACTAGTTCTTTCTTTCCTGCCTGGCAGTGTCTTGATTTTTCTGGAAAGGTCAGGTGTCTGGATTTTTTGAGAAAAGCTTCATTTGCCCTCTTTGCCGCTAATGAAAAGTTTTTAAAACACTGTGCTGGGAAGCGCCACACATCCTCTGAGCTGCATCCGCCTCACAAATCCCCTCTGCTGAGGCCCCGTGTCTGGGACGTGGTGGACACTAATAGCCATAAAACTGCCCAGGCGAGCTTTGCAGGGTGCCGTTTCAGACAGAAGCTTGGCATGTAATCCTCTCACAACAGCCTTGGGAGATTTGTACATCCCTGTGCTCTCTCTGTGAGGCCAGTGGAACTCCTAGAATGTCACCCGCATCCTGAGTCGTGGAGCCGGGATCAGGTCCAGGCAGTCTGGCTCCAGAACTTGGTGCTGATGGGTTTGTTCTCGTTCCAAAAAACAAAAGGTGCCAAGGTGCCGTTAACCATAGGCAGACACGGCCAGCCCACAGGGTGTGGGAATGAGCTAAATCTCATTTGACCAAAGAGTGAAATAAATGATCATTTTAGATGTCCCCCTGAGCAACAAGGGCAGACGCCACCTCTGCCTTCTGCTGCCATGTGCCTGGGGTGACCATTGTCCTCGTTAACTTGGTGTCCTATCCCTTTTAGTGTGTGTCCTGGGTCTTTTTCCTTTTTTAAAGAAAATATTAGAATTTTGTTACAAAAATAGTCTCTAAATGGAACTTTTTTTTTTTATCATTTCTTAACCATCTGTTAAAATTTTTAAATATTTATTTCTAGCACTCCCTTTTACTTCTCAAGAGTTACCTGCATTTGAATAGTTTTTATGGTCACCCTCCCAGTGCCTGGTCCGTGGCAGATCCTTAGCCACTGTCTGAACTTACCCAAAAAGTGCTAATTAAAATGTAGACAATTGTTGATTTCATTGGAAGAGCGTTGCATTAAGGTGAGGATAATGTCCTGAGTTGCCTTTGTTCCATGTTGCTGGGTCTCTGATAGGAGCATTGCTGGTTTGGGGATTTACTTTTTCTAGAAAAAGGAGCACAAGTCCATTGTAAAAAAAGTTTTAACTTTTCCCTGTGTATTCTTTTTTGAGACCCACAGCATTACTCTTAAATTTTTATTTTGAAAGACAATGCAGAAACCTATTTTTTAAAGTTTTATTGAGGTACAAGTAACATCACCGTTACTTTTTAAATATGGAGAAAGACAACCAAAGAGACTACCTTACTCCCCACCTCCCCAGATTGTGTGTACAAAAAACCGTTTCCGTGGCTATTTTCCTATGTGAAAAATCATAGGGACTTTTATAAATATTGTTTCTAATACAGTTCTATATTTGTAAATTAATTTATAATGTGAACTGGGACCAAAAAAAAATTTTTTTTTCCCAAGAAAGTACACTGCATGCTGAGAATCACATGAAATAAACTCTTAACTGGGACGATTTGTGGCCACCTTTAGGCTTTCCTGGTTTTCTGTCTTCAGCGTCTTTCTCTGAAAGAAGTAGAGATGTAAGGGGCATGACACGGAAGTCACTACAGGGACTTTGTTGAGAGCGAAAGCAAATGTTCCCTTTGGATTGGTTCCACCTGTCCACATCTGAAAGGCTGGACCAGAACAGTTATTCTTGGGGACGGTCTGCAGGCATATGAGCATTTTATTGATTGTTAGCAGAGTAACAGTTCCATCTTAGATCGAACTAGGTGCACCAGACAATTTCTGTTCCAGAATGAAATGGTGCTGTGAGGTCTCACCAGTGGGCAGAAGTCCTCAGGTGGGCCCCGCAGCCCTGGGTGTGGTGTGGCCCTCAAGGGAGCCACAGGCAGCCCGTCACTGCCCACTGCCAAGGAAATAGACTGTCAAGGAAACTAGGAAACTAGTTTCCATCTAGTGGGAACTGAGAAAATGAGGTTTCTAGGCTAGGGTTTCTCAGCCTCGGCACTGCTGCTCTTTGGGGCTTGGGAATTTGTTGTAGAGGTTGCCCTGTGCATCACAGGGTATTTCCTGTGCTACTTCTAGCAGCATCCCTGGTCTCTACCCGTTAGTCTAGAAGTGCCTACTTTCCTCCTGGCCCTGGGCACATGGTGACAATCCACAGTATCTCCAGACATTGCCAAATGTCCCTGGCAGGGGTGAGGAGGGCGGGCTGGGGTGGGGAGACAATTAACTCTGCTTGAGAACCACTGATCTTGACTGACACCCACAATTTTCCAATTGTGTGGGCTAGTTGTGAGTCCTGGATGAATGAGGCCTCTGGGTTTCCGGTGTCGGATGGTTTCTGTCCTGTGAGATGCCTTTTCTCCTAAAGAAAATCAGCTGCGTTCTCAGAACTGAGAGCCACTGGTTTGTCCTGTCACATGGGAGGTAGGTTCCTTCAGTATCTTAGTTGCTGACTATAGATTTTTTTTATGGCAGCTCCCTTCTTGACATCTCATTATTTCTATTAATAGAGACCTAGGCTAGAATAATTTTGACCAGCAATAAGCTACCTGAGGTGTTTTTTTGTTTTGTTTTGTTTTGTTTTTTTTGGCATGGTCGGGGGTGGTGGGTAATGGGGACAGGCACAGGATTTCTTGGAAAGAGAGACGTGTAAAAAGCACATGAGTAACCTGTATTTGGAAGTGTCTAGATCTGAGTGGTTGGGATGAAATGCCAGAGCGATGGCGTTTATGAGAACAAAGGCGAAGAGCAGACTCCACTCCGTTCGCCTGCTGACCGGCTGCAGGACTGAAGGAGCTGTAAAGGTGGGCAAATGCCTCCTGCCGGGCACGGGACCCACGGCTACTGGACCAAGCTGCCCGTGCCTGTGAGGTTTCCAGGTCAAAGTCTGTACCAGCCCTCCAGCTGGCACCAGTTTCCTCCATCTGTGACACTGTCTGCCTGAGAACCAGGTCAGAAATTCTGGATCTGAGCTAGAGTTAACGTTCCGTTGTTTGGGACAGTGCAGAGGGGAAGATGTGCTCCCTCGGCGTATAGATGAGCGACCTTCATCCTCTGGGGTGCCTAGGGACCAGGGGGCTGGTGTCAAGTAGCAGCCCAGGCTGAGGCCCTGTGGGCACATGTGTAAGTGAGAGCAGCTGCCTTCCAGCCTTCTGGGATGTAGTGTACCTTCCAGAATAAGACAGAATAAGGCAAAGAAGAATTTTAAAAACTAATAAACCAGTTCATGTTTCCTTCTGGATTGAGAACCTTAACGTTGTTCTCAAATTTACTAGGAACGGGGGGCCAGGAGGCTTCAGGAACTGCTCCCCAACTTCTCCAGCTCCCCAGGGCCCTGACAAGTCCCTCCCAGAGCAAACTGGGCCAAGCTCTGGCCGTGAGGAACGTCACTAAAGCTGTTCTCTTCCTCCCTGCGACTGCCCAGAACGCGGAAAGAGGCTAAGTCCATGGGGTCTAACGGGTTGTTTTCTTTAGCTGCTCTAGTAGCTAAAAACCTAGAGGTTTTTACAGAAGACGACGACACTCCCAGTGGTTTACCTGAGGCAGGGATTAGCCGGTTCTGGGGCAGAGAACGTGGCCTGGCCTTTTGTCATGGAAAGGGGTCAGCTGGGATGCGTGGCTGGGTGGCAGGCACAGCTCTAGAAGGAAGGAATTTCCTGTCAGACTCGAAAACAAAAAAAAGGTCAAAAAGACCAGCTACCTACTGAATTCCTCCCTGCTTTTTTATTCATGATGTCTGGGGATCCTCGCCAAAACCCAGGGAGGCCTGGAGAGCAGTCCTTTATTATTTTAAAAAAGGCAAAAATTACAATAATAATAACTCACTAGGTGCTGGGCATTGTCCTAAAATATACAAAGATATAAAATATAAAATAGCTATCTTAACACTCAACAACTCTATGAAGTAGACAGTGTTGTTTTTTTGTTTTGTTTTTAAGTAAACTCTATCCCCCCCACATGGAGCTTGAACTCACAACCCAGAGCTTGAACTCACAACCTGGAGATCAAAAGTCGCATGCTCTACTGACTGAGCCAGCCAGGCGCCCCGAGGAAACACTGTCAATATTCACTTTACCAATGAGAATACTGAGGATTAGAGTTTGCTTAATAACAGGGCCATGGTCAAAACTCAAAGTAGCTGCTGCAGGTAAGTGGTGAAACCGATTCAAAGTCAGGTCATCTGATGTCAGGACCTACCTGCCCTTGAACTATTCTGTCTCCATTTTGAAGATGAGAAAGAAGAGGCACAGGGAGGTTAAGTGACTTGCCCAAGGCCACATAGCTTATTGGTTGCAGGTTTGGGGACTTAGAACCCAGGCTCCTGGCCAGCTGCCCTGCCCCCAGCGATGTTCCCTGCGGGCATTTCCTTGAGGTTGGTTTTCCCATCTGGGGATCCCTTTTCATGGATACAGGAAGGTAAGCAGTGGGAAGGGAAGTTGTTTTTCCTTGGCATGTCCTTTTCTGCAGGATCAGCCAACAGCTAGGTCAATGGCCCAGGTCTTGGGCTCTGAAGTTGCCAAGGAAAGTCAGGCATTGGAGACCCTGGTTAGGAACCTTCCACTCAGGAAACGTATCCGCTGACTCAGCAAATCCCTTTGGCCGTAAATGCAGTACCCTTATTATTTTAACCTGCTTGATAGGAATAACAGTAAATCCTCTACCAACTCTGTTGGTGTAACACACACACACACACACACACACACACACACACACACGAGTCCCGGTGCTGGGCACTGAGGACATTAAGATGACTGAGACATGCCCCCCCACCTGCCCCCTCAACCCTTAGTGAGCATGTGTGCAGATATGTGCAGGGTAGGGAGGATCCACAGGGTCGGGCTGTGCTCTCCTACCTGGCTGCCAGTCTCCGTGGAGGAAGATACACGGTTTATCCTTCTGGAAGAGCGGCAGGCAGTTCCCCAGAGTCCTGCCTGAGAGAGTCTGCAAGTCCTACACTCCTTCCCTGACCTGCAGCCTGTGCCAGGAGACCAGGACCAGGTGTAACTAAAGCAGGGATGCTTCTGGGCTGACGGAAGCGACAGAAGCAACAGCGGAAGGTGGCACTGTCTTCAAGGCCTCGGGCCCTGGGGCCTGGCTGGAGTGAGCTCCCTCCTGGTATACACATGTCAGCACTCCTGGCCTCCAGGTTTCAGCCCCAACTTCAGGCGAGAGCGGAGCCTGGCTTCTTTGCACTGCACTTCAGAGGAAGTTGGAGGTTACCTGCCACGTTGGGGTTTTCTCCTTCCCAGTTTAGCTTCCTGACGTGCACTAGGCAAAGTACAGTCACAGGGACTGGCCTGCTGCACGCTGGGATTGGGAAGGGGGGCATTCACAAGCAAGAGGCTCTCTTTTCCTCCTCATCTCCAAGGGTGATGCCCACTGACCCCCTTCCTTAGCTGCCCTCTTCCAACTCCACACCAGGGCTGGCCCATAGGCACCGTGCCTGTGACCAGACATACAGACTCCCAGGGCCTCAGTCTTCCCCTCGGCAAAATGGACAAAAACAACCAATCCTGGCTTCATAGGGCTGTTGGGAGAGTTAACGTATCTATTTTATATTGAATCTGTGCTCGCCCCACAGTAGTCTTGAGAAGGGCCTTAGCATCTACTCCCAGAGCCTCCACCTGTCTCTCCTCAGAAAGGCTGATGTCAGTATTATCTATCTGTTGGTCCAGCAGCCTTGGAGGGTGAGTATTATTAGCCTCATGTTACAGAAAGGCAAAAACAGACTAAGAGGCTTGGCAAACAGCCAGCCGCC